AATAAATATGTGGGTATTCTACTCGTACTCACTTTTCTTGCATTTTATGTATTTGTACTGCTATGTTGTAATTTTCATTTTCTTAATGTGAGGGATGGAAAGTAGCTCAAAGCTAAATCCGGTATATTCACTCTTGGCATATTTCATGTTTTAAGTGTTCATTAATCTGCAATGTCCCCGCCAAATAAACAAATAAATATAAGATACACATCTTAAAATGAAGCCATCCCATGAGTAATACTCTGACAGGAAACAGATCCTCTTCCTGTATTGAAAGATATTTGTATTTCTGGTACAGGTGTAATTCATTTATTGGGTATTTTCTGTCTGGACGAATATATAATGTCATCTCTGTATGTTGCTGTTCTGACCCAGTTTCTTACATATGTAATGCTGGTGATCTATACAGTACATTGGCTTTAAGATAAGATAAGACTTTGTTGTACCAGAGTAACAAAAATACAATAAACACAGCAGCATAATAGTAAAACTGTACACTAAAAGTGCAGTAAAAAGAGCAATTAAATACAGAAAACATGTAGAGGGTCACATAATTAATGTAATTATTACCAGTATTTAGTAGTGCAAAAAATTAAACGTGGTGGCAGATACGTAATAATAATAATAATATTGCACATGTTATATAGCAGCGAGTGTATTGTAATGAGGGTAATGATATTCATATTGCACACAATGTAATTTGCTTTAGAGAAGGACAAGTTCTCTACAGGATCCTTTAGTAATAAGAGAAGGAACAGTCATAATGATTCATGTAACCTCATAAATAAACTAGACACTGAATTTCTCCTTTCTCTTATTTGCTTTTTCTGCAGCTGACCTCGTATCTCTCAATAGAATACAAGGAAAGAAAAAAATATGTTTTTTAATGGAAATCTTAAATGGATCTTCAACAGAAATGTGAATCACCCCTCTGGTTTGGATGCATTTGGAGCGACTGAAGATGGGGCTTCACTGAAGAGCCTTTCAGAAAAGCACTTCACCAAATGGCTACCGAGAAATGTGTTTGCATGAATGTATCTTCTGTTCTCGTGTAGAAAATAGGTGATGATGTTTACTATATTCACATCTTCTTCACATACTCATAATCCTTTAGTGTTTCTCAATGAATGCATAGGGTTATTTGGGGGAAAAACTCAAAATAAAACAACGATATAACATATTATTTTCGAGGCGTATGCCGCAGTGGAATAGTGCGTTGGTGTTCGGATCAGGGGAGCACAGGTTCAAACCCCACTCGTTGTGTCCCTGAGACACTTCACCCCAAATTGCTCCTGTGGGGATTGTCCACAGTATTGAGTATGTAAGTCGCTTTGGATAAAAGCGTCTAACAAGTAACATGTCATTTGGTTTGTCGAGATATATATACACAATTCAAATTTTACAGAATGCTTCTCTAGAAGATCATCTGGAGGGAGTTTTAAATGTTTTGTTTTTCACGTTGATGTTGTTTTGGTACACATGGCACCAAAATGATTAGAGAATAATTGTGTGTATGTGTTTGTATGGTGTGTGTGTGTGTGTGTGTGTGTGTGTGTGTGTGTGTGTGTGTGTGTGTGTGTGTGTGTGTGTGTGTGTGTGTGTGTGTGTGTGTGTGTGTGTGTGTGTGTGTGTGTGTGTGTGTGTGGTGTGTGTGTGTGTGTGTGTGTGGTATGGTATGTGTGTGTCTGGTGGTGTGTGTGTCTGGTGTGTGTCGTGTGTGTGTCTGTGTGTGTGTGTGTGTGTGTCTGTGTGTGTGTGTGTATGTGTGTGTGTGTGTGTGTGTGTCTGGTGTGTGTGTGTGTGTGTCTGGTGTGTGTGTGTGTCTGGTGTGTGTGTGTCTGTCTGTCTGTTTTTGCAAAACAACCCTGGGGGGGGCTCTGGCGGCAGCTTTTGTGTGGAGGACGTGCTGTTGCTATGGCGAACAACAATGCGTCCATCAGATAAAACAGCACCAAGTACATTTGTGTGTGTGTGTGTGTGTGTGTGTGTGTGTGTGTGTGTGTGTGTGTGTGTGTGTGTGTGTGTGTGTGTGTGTGTGTTTGTGTGTGTGTGTGCGTCATTGCTTTAGCTAGTACAGATTTTTTTTTCAATACACAAAATCATTTTCTTTTAGTTTTTTCTCTCTCTCTCATAGATGTAATGCAGGAGTTTGATTTCCTCCTAATGACTCTCAAGTGGGGTAAATGTAATTAGCTAAACCCTTTCCCTTTTCTTTTTTTCCGTCTCTATCTCTATCTCCTGGCAGTAGTGAGCAGGAGTGAGTAATGTGAGCACACCGCGGCTCTGTAATTGGGTTTATGCACGTCCAATCTCAGCCCAAGGACCTCATGGAGACAAATGGCATAGGAGTTTGTCCGTGTGCACACACTCACTCTCCCTCTTCCTATTCCTTTGTATAAGCTAGAGAGCTGGAGGTTTAAATAAAAAGTGTTGAGAAAAGCAGGAAAGGTTCAAAGGTCACTACTGATTTTTAGGCTGATTGGTGTTAAGTGATGTTAAGTTATGCATACCAATACAAATATCAAACATTTTCTGGTTTCAGCTTCTCCAATGTGAGGTTTTGTGGCTTTTCTTTGTCATATACAGTATGATAGTAAATACAACTTATTTTGGGTTGGATGAAAACAAAAGATCTTTAAAAATAATGCAATATTTTATGTGTTGATCAATTACTTTTTGACATTTCATAGATTAAATGTTGAATTGATGAAACAATTAGGAAATAAACAAGAACAAAATTGGTGTAAATATTAATATATATAAAAGCTTGAATTAATACGAAATTAAATAAGCAATCCACATTTAAATATTATATAACAATGTATATTGTAAACTCCTATGATATTGCTTAAGGATTTTGTTGTGTATTTTACCTCATAGTTGTTGCATTTAATATATTGCGATGTAGAAAGTGTGAAATAATGTGTATAGTATATATATATATATACATAGTAATTAGTTTACATTTTTTCTAAATCTAAAAGTTTATGAATGTTTTTATGTCGCCTCATAGGTTGGTCTGCTAGTGTATTCTAACTTATTCCATATATTTTATGTTGCATGTATATATATATCTTTCTAATGTTGAAATGGATATTTTGACAATTTCAAAACATTTTTTAAATTTGGGATCAATTAAGTTAACCCTCAGGGGCGCATTACTGAGGAGCCTTGATAACCTTGACAATAACATCTCCCTCATACAGACGCCCACTGTTTAAAACACACATCACATGCATTGCAACATGCCACACACACACACACACACACACACACACACACACACACACACACACACACACACACACACACACACACACACACACACACACACACACACACACACACACCATCTAATATAATCAAATGTAAGTATAATGAATAGTTGGTTGTATTCACATTTGCACAAGAGAAAGGGAATAGTAAGGGAGTTAGTATACCGTGCAATATTAATATTCTCTATAATGCAATGTGAATTTACTGTAACCACATTTTGTTAATGTATTTAATTAGACAGTCTTTTGTCAAAAGAATAATTGAACTGAGAGAGAAGGACGTGGCACATCTCAAGCAATATTCTGGTTGTCATTAATAATATCTTTATTAATGCTTTTTACATGACTGTATATGTTTTAATAAACATATTTCAACATATTTATTGTTGTTATATTTTGTAGAGCAATGTGAACAATGTACCTAACTGCATAATTTAATATAACTATTTTTATTCTATGTTTGTATATGTTCTTTTTGCACATTTCGAACATACAATAGCAAAGGTACAGTTCAGATAAAAGGCTAAATACATTTTAATTTAAAATATGTTTATTTATCACACATATACACACATATAAAGAGGCAATACATGTTAAAAAATACATTTGATGATCCATCCAGCGATTTTAAGAAGTCAGTGACCATATAAAAAAGCATTGAAGTAGCCAGTGCCATTAACAAATTGTAAATTCATTGTAAAAATAAATTGTAAACAGTATTACGGTTTGTATTTTTTTGTGGTTTACCAGGGACTTTGTTAGTTGTACAGTTCTTGTGTCTATATGGATATTTGTATTCTAAGCACATCTTTACTTCAACTTACAAATCTGAATCAAACATCCTTTATGTCTCCTGTGGGATATTTACAGTGTTGATTATATGAATATTTGTATCATATATTAGTTAATAAACCTAATTCACCCCCATGATTTTAAATAAAGTATTTTGATTATCTCTACTCTATGCGCGTACTCACACATATTTACACATATACACACATATTAAGCGGCAATAAAGGTTAATAAAAGTATATATTAAAAAGTACACACGTGGTCAGCAGCAGCATTTACAAAAGTCAGTGAACTTATACAATTATTAAAGTATTATTGTTGTATTTGTATTGCACATTTTTACTTAGACTTTCAAATCTGAATCAAACATCCTTTATGTCTCCTGTAGATGGGATATTTACAGCATTGATTATATGAATATTTGTATCCTATATTATTTAATAAACCTAATTCACACCCACACCTTTGTGCAATATGTGCAATATATATATATATATATATATATATACATATGCCGTTAAAAACTGGGCAATATATAGCTGGCTGCTAAATCCTAAGTATTGTTATAGGATGTGTATTTGTGTATGTGTATGTAACTTTTTTTATTAGGCTACCATTTCTTCTTTCATACTTTTGTATGCATGCTTAGGTAACATTAAGCTGTCTTTGGCTCTTTTCTGCTGTAACAATGTAAGTGTCCCCTCTGTGATACAAATAAAGGTATTCTGATTCTGATAAATAAAGTATTTTGACTCTGATTATCTCTGCTTTATGCGCGTCCCCGTGAGTGTTGTGCTGGCGGGGTCTCGCGGTCCCTCCCTCGCCCCCCGAGGCGCGCGCCCACCTCTCCCCTCCGTGTCCGCGAGGGGGCGCTGCGTGTCGGTCTGAGGCTGCGCCGCTCGCGCTGCATCACGAGAGGAAAATACCACCAGATGGCGGTTTAGGATTGCTGCTCTTCTCTCAAGGCGCGGTTCCGCTCGCACGGCCAATTTTCAATATTAAAATACGCACTATATTAAAACGATAATCGATTTATTATTTCGGAAGGTGATAATCGATTCGGCGATGTTCGTTAGAGGTGAGTGTCTTGTGTTTTTGTCGTGTTTTGTGCGGTGGGGAAGGGAGCACAGATTAAAGATGGTGGACACAGACAGGGAAGACTGGTTGGATGGGGGGATGGGCGTCGTTAGCGGCTAACGGAGGTGCTTTCTCTCTCTTCCTCACTCTCACTGTAGCCTAGCAGAGCCATTAGCTTTGTGAGCTAGCCACACAAAATGTCGCCAAGACAACTTGCTACAGGGTGCAAGAGGCTGTCGCAGCTCCAGCTTCCAATTTCTATCCGGCTCTTGAGTTTGTCTTGTCAACAAATAAAGAGCCATGCGGTGTGACGTGTTTTCTTGCTCTTTGCAAGACAGGAATCAGAGCATCACCTTCTCCCATTTGCACAGCCCTATTATGATACAGTATTGCCCTGCTGTCATTTATGCAAATTCCACGTTGACTTTGTTGTTATCATCCCGTGGTAGTTTGGCTTTTTTGTTTCATGTACAATGTGATATATGAACCTAGGAGCTACTTTTCCCCCTGTGTCAACATCGCCACCCCTTTCAAGTTTCTTAGGAGTAGTGGTGACTTTTGACACGGCTAATAAACGTGTTGCTTTTGTTAATGATTGACAGCTGGTGGATGCTTTTTAATACGTTTGCAAGGATCGACTCTGTGCATGATAAACAATATTATTATGGCGCTGCTTTCCCCATCTCCGCCCCCTTCTGTGCGGGAAGCAGGCAACACTGAGCGGGGAAACATGAGTCACATTAGGGGGGATGGGCTCCAGTATCTCCTCCATCTCTACACAGGCTTCAGTGCTGGCTGTCACTCCTCTGACCTATGAGCAGCTCAGCCTGTGCAGGATAGTCAGTGATAGTCGATAGTGGGTCAGAGAGCCTCCTGCAGTCTGCATGAATCTCACATTGTTGCATAACCGCTTTGTTTACAGTCGGCCATGTGATTGTCTTGGATTGCAATCTGCAGCCTGCTCGCCTGCCAACTTATCTTCCATTTTCACTCACTGTTTCCTCTTCATACTGCACAGCCCATATGTTATACATCCCTTAGAAGCTAGGCAATACATGGTTGAGATTGTTAGAATTACAGTTGTATTGATTTAATTTGTAATGGCTCTAAACTAGAGATCTTATTATGAACTATTGACTTTTTTTGTGTGAATGGAAGCGGGGAATTGTGTGATTTTGTTTGTTGGGTAGAATATTTGACCCATAACCGTATTCGAAAGCACACAAACATTGAAGCCTCTTTGTATTAAATACATTATTGTTAGAATTACAGTTGTATTGATTTAATTTGTAATGGCTCTATAGAGATCTTATTGTTACTATTGACTTTTTTTTGTGAATGGAAGCTGGAATTTAAATGTGAGTATTGTTTCTTGGGTAGAATATTTGTCCAAATGAATGGAAAATATTCCCATAACCACATTTTGAAAGCACACGAACAATGAAGCCTCTTTGTATCAAACACACCAGAAAATATGCAATCTTCATGCATTTAATTTACCGAACATTACCGGAAAAAAATGGTAATTTACAAATGATTCTTCCTCATTAAGAACATTTTAATTGATAGAATAATAACAGATGTGCATGTCTGCTTTTGGCAACGCTGTAAAAGTTGACATATTGAGTACTTGATGCAAATATCATATATAATTATATTTTTGCTCATTGATTTGCAGCATAACACACAGAGACGTTGAATTGAAAGGGCTAGCTACTCTTATAAGTGACACATATTGTCTTTTAAACGACATATTTAGAATATCCCTAACCTTATATAGAGTTTAGTTTTCATGCCTGCTTATTTTTATATATTTAGTCCACACATTAATGTGATTTACACGAACAAATGGCTATAGTCGGGCGCAACTACTGTTTTGCATGATTGTTAAAACAGATCCTGTTTTTATGGGAGTGTTATGTAAAAGGTTAAGAGCATGCAGTGTTTAATCTTTCCATACATAACTTTTATTTTGGTGACCTGCCAAAAAGAGATATTTTCCTCTCCAAAAAAACACATTTTCGGGGTTATTATGTCTTTCAAAATGTAGCGTGGAAACGCAATTGAAGGTGTGAGTTTATTAACAACTGTTTGACTGGAAAATATGACTTCTTAGAGTAGACCTACACATAACTTTGTTAACTGATAATATCTAGTGTGCTCTTTTATTACAAATTATCAGATATTTTGTAGTTTTATGTATGTCATTTGATTACTCCCACACACATAGTGACCTTTGCACTTATTCTATGCAAGTAGGATGTTATGTTTTAATGCCAGAGCACACTTACAGGTATATTATAGACATCCACCACTATTTTATCAGTTTATTGTGTTGCACTGTTGGAGGAGCCTGTGACCTAAGATTTTCATCGTCATATCTACACCGTAGCTATGCACACATGACAATAAAAGCCTTGAAACTTGAAGGAACACAAAGGTTATTTAGCTTGGAAATAGGTGGTTTAGACATATCCACGTTAACAAGAATGTAATATAGTTAGTCTGACGCCCAACAGAATCGCTCTGTGTTTTGTTTTGTCGTAGATACATATATCTTTGGACCAGATACCAAGCTGTTTGTAGCCCAGAAGAAAAGATAACCACTTTGATGAATGTTCGGTAATCTACCACACTGTACTTTCCTCAGGTGATGAAACCGGTTGACATGCAGTGCCATTTCTTGCACACCTTTTAAAAAGTGACTGATGTAAAGACTATATTGTTGTGTAATCCTTTTTCGACAACATTGAGGGTTAACAGAAATGGTGAATAATCGCCCTGCTAAATAGCTTGGCTCTTTGCCCTGGCTCTTTCCATAATAAGCCAATAAAAGGCTAAGAATCACATCATGTATCATACTAGTAGTGTACATGCTACACTGTGTTGGGTAATGGATATATAATAGTTGTTTGTTTTAAGGTAATTGCTTTCAGGCAGTTAAGCAAATGGCCTTTCCACATGTTGAATAGTATTGTTTGACGATGAATCCAATATTAAAGAGCAGACCTGGACTGTGTGTTATGAATTGTGCCGTATAGTGGTGACTTAGCTGGAGGTGCTCAAGTGTAGAGGGCTTTTGTCCGAGCTATACGCTTATAATGATACAGCTTAAGAGATTACGTAATGGGGTTTGACATTTGTCGAAGCCCATTACACGGCAACTTTGATTCAAGATGTTGGCCGTAGAAAGAACAATATTTCCTGGTCGTATTATTGGCTTTTTGCACCACAGTGAGAGACATGTCAAAGCAACATTAAATAGGCCTTCATTAGCTTGTTTTAGCGTCTAATATATTTAGCATTTAACGCATCTAAAAACAACAAAACTCACTTAAGAAAAGCAGATTGATGAGTCCACTTCCTTCATAATTCTGTTGTGAAAAATATGGAATAAAGCAGATTTACTAAATGCATTCAATCAAATGTTCTAAAGCAGGGTGTCCGCGGGGTCTTAAAAAGTATTAAAAGTTGATAAATCAATTTAGCGAAAATGAAGGCTATTAAAAAGTATTAAACGGCATTTTCCAAGGTATTACATTTTGTAGCTTGTTTTCAATAAGTATATAAATTGTCCAAAGAGGTTGTATTCTACAGTCTGCCTGAATGTAATCATTGCGTAGGTGTGTAGTGTGATTCTGTGTAGTTTATTTATGGCATCCCGTTGGATTTGACGTCATCTGAACAGGACATCGCACGCTCACTGCTTGATAGCGCGCAAAGGCCCGTTTACGCCGGTTGTTAAACAACATCGTTATGGGGAAATGCAAGTTTGCGTCCAAATGGTTGGAAGATAAGGAGGAAGGACAATCAATACTGTATATAGTCAATGTGAGGTAAAGTGTGTCGCCAATGTAACCGGTTAAAACTCAAAGTGGCGATGAGGTCTTAAAATGTATGGAAAGGGTCTTAAAAGGTCTTACATTTGACTTCAGGATTCTTGCATATACCCTGTAAAGGCAGATTTGACATACATTTGCAATCCTAGCAATCTCCCTTTTAATATATTGGTCTTATTGAGCTGTATAATGTGTTTCTACTACTTGCTAAAATGACTCCAGTATATGAGTGAGATAATGTAAAACAATAGTGCGATCTTTGTGGGTTTCTCTTCTTCAGGACAGCCCTGCTCGTGTTAATATGCAGAGAGAGCTGCGTAACACTTTCTGAAATAGTGTTGTCACCCGTGGCTGAGTTGAGGTTTTCATTGTGATGTGGTTTCCTGTTATGTAATTAGCTGCATAGCTGGTGTCAGAGCTGTTGTCTGTCACTTTGTTTTACACAGGGCAAGTAAGGAGTTACATTACCTAAAGTCAAGTGGATTTAACTTGTTATCATTTTATGTATTTGTACTATGCTATGTTTGTAATTTTCATTTTCTTAATGTGAGGGACTGCGGATGGAAAGTAGCTCAAAGCTAAATCCGGTATTTTTACACTTGGCATATTTCATGTTTTAAGTGTTCATTAATGCGCAATGTCCCTGCCAAATAAACGAATAAATACAACATAAATCTAAAGGCTGTTGAGATGAGGCCCTTCAGTATTTCTGAGCATTTTCTGCCTTTCTATAAGCCCGTAATAATGTGTACAACATTTGTAAAGAAGATGCATTGCAGGCAAAATAAACATGCACAAACAAACACAATATAAACATGATTTTAAAACACTTTATATACCATTACAATTATTTAAAAAAACTACAGCATTCGCGACTTTTAAAGCTGGACTTATCAATTGTTGACAAAGCTCTTGTTTTTAAAGTTTCACAGTGTAATTTACAGATTAATTTGCAATACAAAGGCAAGGCACGTTTATTTATATAGCACATTTCAACACAAGGCAATTCAAAGTGCTTTACAAAAATGAAAGGCATTAATACACATATTATGAAATGACATTTAAAAACACTCATTTAAAAGCAAAGATACATGAATAAAAGTTACAGTGCAGTGTGAGATACAAACATCTGAACAAACACACTGTATTTCTGTTGCAACCT